ACACACACACACACACACACACACACACACACACACACGCACACCTTAGATAAACAAACCCTACAGGTTTGTCCATAAACACATTAAAGCATTAATGTGCTGACACCTAGTTTGAGAACCTGTAAGCTTTTAACACATGTACACACATACAGAGGTGTTTCCCAAATAGAAATCAGCATGCTGTTACTAATCGATCTGTTAAATTTTCTGTTTTGTCTTAATTAAAAAAATAATATGAATAACCAATTGTCAACATAAATATAACTACACTGAATTTACTTTGTCCTGTGATATCCTGTCACACTCTGGGTTAGCCTCCAGACCACCTGTGACACTGAACTGGACAAATGTTAAGAAGATGGATGGATTTTCTGGGTTTTAAAATGTACCTTTGTAGCCATCAAGTAGAGAAATATGGCGGTGTATGAAGTCTTATTTTATGGGGGCTAAAGACAGTTATCTATTTGTTGTTGTTGTTGTCTAATTGTTATTGGCCTCTGTGAAAAGAATTCAGGGACAGAAAACCAGTTATTGATTCTGCGGGTAACTACGTTCAAACATTAGCTGTGTACTAACTCGGCTCTTGTGCTAATAAAACTGAACCAAAATATCCAGACTTTACACTGATGAAGGCTTTGTACCAAATATCTAAGCGTATTTCACAAGTCAGATGTGAGTACCGTAGTTTGCAAAGGTAATATGAAGTCACATATTCAACCACACACCCCCTTTTCTGCTGATGCATGAAACACTGAAAGATTGACAACAAAATTAAACAAATCACCTTCCTAGGAAAGTTTCATTCAAAGGTTAATACTGCTGCTGTTATTCTGTTTTTGTTTCAGGGAGCCCGAACTCTCTGCACAAGGGAGGTGTGTCCCATCCTTTCTTGCCCCTCTCAGCTCACCCACACCCCGCCTGGACAGTGTTGTCCCAGATGTGTCGGTAAAGACTGGGAAATTCAATGATGGGGATCATAATGATGGGCAACACCACAAAACATAACTCCTGTTAAAATGAGGTGGCAGACATTACACAGCTGTGGCCAGAAGCATAGATAGGCAATGAAACATGTAATCTCCTTAGAGAAGGGGTTAATGCTGCTCCTAATAACCCTAAATATCTTTTTTATCCTCAGCCTCCATTAATTTTAATTTCATAACTTTAGTCATATCTTGCAGGGGAATTTTTTTGTTTTGCACTCATGGATGTCTGAAGCAGTCAGAATTTTATTTAGATACAACCAAATCAATTCCGTTTTTAATCCCCATTTTTCTCTACATGACTCTGTCTTTCCTCCAGGTCAGAGGAAGGTGTTCGATCTCTCTTTGGGAAGCTGTCTGTTCTACAGTCAGGTCTATGACAATGGCACCTCCTTTATACACGACAACTGTACCACCTGCACCTGCCAGGTATCAGCCTGAATAGCAAAGGCTTCATTAAACAAAGCAATGGTCAGTTAGTAAATTTAAAAAAATCCTAATTCAAATAATCTTTCTAGAATTCCACTGTAGTGTGCAAGAAACGCTGCTCGCGGCAGGGAACTTGCCAAGGCAGCCACTGCTGTGAGGAGTGTCTGTCCTATGTAAAGGTGGAGGAGGTGAAGTACTGCAGAGTCCGGAACAAGATCTACAGGGTAAGAGCAGGATGGATGGATGGATGGATGTATGGATGGATGGATGGATGGGTGGATTATGGAGTGGGATGATGGTAACGGTTAGCTCTGTTGCCTCCTTGTTAAAATCTTTTTGGTTGCTGAGACCTTTCTGTGTGGAGCATGTTTCCTGTGTGACCCTCCTCTGCATACTCAGACTTCTCACAGCTCTGAAGACATGCACGTTAGATACATTGGTGATTCTATAGAGGCTGTAGGTGTGAATGCATGGTAGCTAAAATGTGACTAAAGTTCCATGTGCAAGAATTGGTAAAGTAGTGGCTTAAAGCACTCTGAGTGATCAGAAAGACTACAACAGCAAAGGATGAACGTATAGATAATACGTAGCTGTATTCTTGGGTATTGTTGGAATGATAAGTGCCTTTACGTCTTGATGGATGTTGTTCTAACCCTATTGTGTCTTTTTTCCTTTGCAGGAAGGAGACATGTGGTCATCAGTTAACTGTACTCTCTGTACTTGCGTTAAAGGCAGCATTGAGTGTCAGCCCAAACAGTGTGTACCAATCACCAGCTGCCCCTCGGTGAGTGACACCAGTTGATCAATGGATTACATTTATTTATAGCGGTGTGTTATGTGCTGTTATGTTACCCTAGCTGCTTTTCGACTGTGTATTTGTCTTTTTAATTTCTTGGACTATAATGTTTGCAAAAAACACTGCAATCTCTAGTGAAGGCTGGGAGCAGTCAGTCATCCAAAGGTGATGGGGTGGGTGGAGATTTGGTGGCACAAACAAAAATACCTCATACCCCTGGTGGTTTAACCTACAATAACCCTGTCTTTGTCACTCCACTTTATCTGCTTTCCTTTTCTCCATCTGACCTGTCTCACACTCATACTTTACAGCCCATGACTAACTTCATGATTCTCATTTCACATGCGTAACGCCTCAAAATGACAATACTGTCAAGATTTATCGGCAGTGCTGCCATAACCGACTCTCAATTTCAACAGGTTCACCTAAAAATGCAGGTGTAGAGTATCAGCTTGAATCAAAACATTGAACATGTCATGTAAAAATGTATCCTCTTTTTTACATGACATATGCAAGAAATAAGCAAAATAACTATAAGGGTATATCAAAGAGTAACACAGCCTGTTGCATAAAGAGGTCTCAATTAGTGCACTGTAACACAGCTGAAATGTGGCATTAGCTGGGAACTCGGGGAACTGCTGGCAAGAGAAGGGTCTATGGTGCGTTCACCTGTTGCAGAGGTCGCTTTGAGGTTATCTGTCGTGCGTTTCGTGATGGAGTGGATTCCTGGCATGCCGGTGGCCGTCACGCAGTCAAAGCCGGTGTCAATGTTGGTCTAAGTTCACACGCTTCCAGTGGTTACAACGAGCCCTCACCTGTTGTTTGCGGTCAGAACAGGCACAGTGCCATTGGTGGTCCACATTCAGTTTTGTCTCCAGAGAAAAAGCAGTTTTATAAGTCACTTTAAATGTGGAAGAGGGCAAATAGTTTTTTAAGGACTGTAGCTTCAATGTTGAAAAAGTGCAGTGAATGCAGCAGCCATTCTTTTTAGTGGCCTGCAGGGGGCGACTTTTCTGGTTGCTAAAAAAAAAAGCCAGATTGTTGAAATGTTTGTAAGAAAATGACCCTCCTGCTTCCTTGATCTGTGATCCTAGTAAACACTTTTGTGATTCCTCTATGGTCTCAGTCACAAGTTTCTAGTCTTACTGATTGCAAAATAATGTAGATGTTTTGATGACATACTCATCAAAAAAGGAGAAAAAAAGGAAACCACAGAGGGAGATTGGCAAGTTGCTGCCATATGAATGTGTATTGTATTTCTGTTTCCATCGCTGGCGTCAGACAGGTGTTTTACAGCGTTTTTTTTTTTTTAAAACATCTGTAACTCCCGTAACTCCTTAACCTCATGCTCAATTGAAAGAATTCCAAAACTTCCTGAAAGCACAGACTCGGCGATTTTCTCAAGTACTGCCCCGCAAAGACGAAGGTTGGTTGAGAGAAGAGAGAGTGAGGGGAGAAAGAGCTCAACAGAAAACAGAACTTTTTATCTGTTTTCTTTTGATCTTTTGGGGTTCTTTTTTGGGTTTTTTTTTTCTTTTTCCTGTTTTCTGTGTTATTTGCTAAGTACTGAATGTGGGCCTTGCTTGGGATTACTGTAATGACCTTTATATCACTGAAAATAACAGTTTCTGCTTTCAGAAACCACTGAAATTTTGTGGTTGCACAAATGGTGTAAGAGTTATGGTAGTTTGACGTAAAAGTTTAACCTAAAACCTATGGGAGCACAGATGCTCCAGTCGGTTTTAATGGGTTAAATCCGGCACTTTCCTAACTAGTAAGTGATTTCACAGTGGCTGTCTTTTATATACAGTTAAAGTCTCTATTCTTAACATATTAATGCACTTTTTAGAGCATTGACACAACATGGAGACAGTATGTGACATCACTTTTTGAGAGCTGTATAAGAAAAAACAACATGAAAGAAGTGACACAGGAAAAAGTTACCCAGATGCATGTAGTTGTATGTAAAGGAATGCAAAAGGATGTAAACTGATTTTCAGTGGGGAATATATAGCACGATATCGGATAACACGTATGTGCTGCATTGTGAGGTTGATATCAGTGAGTGAAATCGGACACTTCAGGACCAGTGGAGAGGTTACCGCTAACCCCCTGGGTTGACTTTTCTGCTCTTTACATAAAGTAAACATCATTTCTTGTAAAAATATGTTGATATTAAGCATAATTTGTGGATTTATTAAATTCTGATTGCAATAAAATTGTTGCAATGTTTCTCTTATGAAAATGTTTCTCTTATGAAAATACAAAGTCAGGTTTGATTTGTAGGCAGGTGTTTTAAACAATCTGTCCCACAGTTTAATAACAATGAAAAATCTGACATTTGCACTATTCTTGATATGAAAAGATATTAGTAAATGTAATCTAGTGTGGCTTATCACTCTCACAGAGGTCATTACAGTCCACATTACCTTCAAAACACACACACATACCTCACGCATACTCTTTCCCATGCCATCATCCTGCGGTCAGCAGCAGGTCGGCAGAGCGTGTGGGTCCCATTTGGAGACAGTGTGTCTCCGAACAGCCTTTTGTCTGTGTGGCATTTGAGTGACAGCAAAGAAGAGGTTCCCTATATTTAGGCCCCTGAAAACCAATCTCTGACACTGTGTGTGCCTGAATGAGTGTGTGTGTGCGTGTCCTTGTTTGTGTCATCAGTCTGTCAAAAGGCAGCCCTCTTCAAAGAGAGAGAGTGCCCTTTGTGCCGAGGTTAGGACTCTGGAGTCTGCATTGAGGGTACAGAGAACTTCTTTATGAGATGACAGATGAGTGGTGTGTGTGTGTGTTTGTGTATGTCTGGAAGACAGGGGAAAAAGACTGCGTATACGTTTATATGTCTATTTGTGAGGACTGGTTCCAGTTTTAGACCTTGGGAGAGGAGTCATTTTTCAAAAGGGAGGGTATTTGGTTAGTCTAGACTCAAAGGGTGGTTAACAGGGGTAGGGGCTGGGGTTAAAACATTTAGTTAGGCTGGTTAAGGTAGTTTTAAGGGGCAAGGAAGGCATTGTATCAGCGAAGGTCCTCACAAAGATAGAATTACATGTGTGTGTGTGCGTGTGTGTGTGCGCGCGCGTGCGTGTGAAAAAAGGGCTTCCCTGAGGCAAAAAAAACTAGGTGTGTGAAAGAGCCCTCTGATCTGCACTTTTGATGGAAGTTGAAACATACAGCGAACACACACACACACACACACACACGCACAGAGGGTCCTGTTACACAGACAAAGTTCAGCAGTTGAAGTTGGAGTATGCGTGTCTCTGAAACCTTCCTGGTGTTGCTGTGAACTTGTCAAAACGTGAACTTTTCCTGTATCGCCATCTTTCATGTAACTTCTGTTACCTCTGCTTGAATGACAGCACAAAATTAGAACTGTTGATAATCTCTACCAACAAAAATGGGAAATATATATCGTTTGACCACCAGTACTTGGTTCTCAACTGTGTGGAAACAAGACTTTAAATTAGAGGAAAAAGAACAAGTTAAAATATTATGAGAGATTATTAGTAATGGTCATCATATTCTAAGTCATACATTATAATACTGTATTTTATGTGGCAGACCTACGTTCAATAACAGGGGTCCATCAGGAATCAACTCCAACTACTATTTTTCTTCCCAATGTGATGTTTGTGTAAAGTTTGGTCAGAAGGTTCCTTTGCGCGTGCGCCATTAGCATCCTGCCTGCTGTAACCTACAATTTCCTTTGGGATTAATAAAGTATTCTGATTCAGATTCTGTTTTATTTTACTGTTTTTATATATTTTTACTTTACTTTGTTAGTTTTCTTGCATTTACAAAACTCTGATCTTCTTTTTCTCCCAAATACAGAAAACTAGGAATAATCTGACTTAGTGATCTGTGATCAGTAGAAGAAAGTTTAACAAGGGCAAAAAAGTTAATGGTTTTTAGAAATATTTATCAAAAGAGAAACTTTTTTCCTGGACATTCTGATTCGTGTACAGTTCGGTTGAAATTTGTAAACTGCAAAGCTAGTCAGAAGCATAACAGTTTTTTCTTATTGTAATTTTCTTTTAGGTTTTTATTCCATGTGTCTATGCTTTGCTCGTGACACTGCTCCACATTCTGTCAAAACAAGTTTCCTTGCCACATTCAGGCTTCTTGTCATCTTCCCTTAATTCCTCTGTCAGTTATCTAATCCAGTGTTTCTGTGTCTGTTCTCTTGCAGAATAAAATCCTGAACAGAACTGGCTGCTGCCCAGTTTGCACTGAAAGTGAGTAAGTCCTTCTCCACCCTCCACACAGTGATTTGTGGGATTCTCACTGCAGTGTCTTCTAATCTATATATCTAGGGAAGCCCTTTAATTTGAGCCCATCAAAGTCTTAAAATATCTCAAATATATTTATATATATATATTTTGTTTGTGGCTGCACAAGAATCAGAGCTATTGATACTGAATGTTTAGAAAGCTAATTATACGTCAGAACCTATGAATTGTTCTTTTTATGAGCAATAAAAAATAAAATCTCATTCTGGCCTCTGCAGTTCACTTGAGTATTCCCCGTGAACTTCAGTCCAGACTGTGGTTTACCCTTTGGGTCGTTTTACTTTAGCTTTTGGCTTCAAACTGCAGCAAAAAAATCCCCCAAAATGTTCTATTTCAGGACTACAAATACTCCATAAACCCCACTTGTGTATAATATAGAGTTTAGATTTAGCTGGTCAGGCAGATGTATTACCACAGTGAGTCACATTAGTGCCACATATTTCAGCATTTATCGTAAATTATTTTTCCGCTGTTAGCTGTCAGATTTCAAAATGTATCCTTTTTTATAAAGTGCTTAACTTTGGGTTGCCTCTTGCTGTCCAGGGACCTACTGCTGTTCCAAAGTTCATGTTTTAGGTCACTGAGGTTAAAAAAGGCATTTGCTTTCTTTGACTTCTTTCTATATTTTTGGTTAAACATATCAAGAGCTTTCTTTTTCTTTGTCCTACTTCAGAGCCAGGCGTGTGTACAGTCTTTGGCGACCCTCACTACAACACCTTTGACGGCAGGACCTTTAACTTTCAGGGAACTTGTCAGTATGTTCTGACTCGTGATTGTGGTAGCATTCCCTCTGGAGGGCCTGGGAATAACATCAACCTCAACAGCCCAGACTCGAGCTTCACGGTAAAATGGAAGGGTATCACTTCATAATATAGCCCACAACTGAGGGCATACTTCCTCTGTAATTAAATGGAATTTGAGTGTATATACAGGAAACAAATAAATAATTATATTGTAAGTAAATTTAGATATTGGGTTGGTAATTTTAAGTAGTGTGCAATTTCATGGTAATGCTGGAGGAAAACAAACCATATTTCCCCATCTTATATCATAAGCATGCTGTACTTTTCAGGCCGCAGGCCTTATTACAGAGCGTATTAATCTTTATTTTATATTTGTTATGTTGATGTGCATGCTGGATGTCCTATTATTCAATTATTCATTTATCTTACCAACTTACAACAAAAAAAATAAATACAGTCAAAATGTTACAGTACAATGATGGAACTTGATGGTTTTCTTTCACCATCACTGGTCAAATATAATTTTCAAAAGGAGTGAAATACCTGAAAGTTAGGCCGGGTTAAGCTGTATTATAGTATGTTATTGATGGAATTTAGAATACACTAGGATTTGATAAAATGTGTACTCAGAATGGGATGAAAAAATTGGGAAACTGCTCATCTCTGCTGACCTCTCTGCTGACTTTTTTCACACATTAAAAACCAAAAGCAGCTGAAATTTTATAAAGACATCAGGACCTCTGAGACCTCAATAGATCCTGAGTTGTCCTGTTTTAATGGCTTTTAATCTCATTACTTTGATTTCAGGTGTTGGTGAAGAATCACGCCCGGAGGACTCGCTCCTTCTCCTGGACTCAGTCTGTCGAGGTGAAGCTGGGTAGTTTGATCCTCAGCCTGCACCAGCACTTAACGGTACGGAAGAATGGTACTCGCATCGCCCTGCCCTACCATGGTCCTGGGGTGCATGTAGACCTGGATGGATACCTGCTCAAACTCACCACCATTGCAGGTCAGTATACGTCTTTCTGATCCAAGTTTTTAAATCAGCAAATATTGACCTCTATTTGTGGTCTCAGCTGAAGGTGAATTAATCATTGGAGAGTTCTTGATAAAATATGGCATGGCTCAGTGAGTGGAGCCTGGTTTTCCATGTATGATCGTCTATTTAACATTCTGTGTGGACCTTTCACCTGATTTGGTCTGACTGTACCTGTGTGTGGCCTTCTGTTAAGCATCAGCAGAAGCGCAGGAGTCTTCTGCCCTCTCATGCCACCCAAATAAAATATGCAGAAAGGTTATTATGAATTTTTTGTCCAAAATTAAAGCAGCTTTAAGAATAACAGCACAAACTTTGCAGATGAAAACCACATATCTGAAAAATTAGTTGATAATTTGAAATCATTCTTTTACAAGAGATGGTTACAAATAATAAAGATTTTGTTTCTAACCTCCACCTTTTTCTGCAGGTCTGGAGATCACATGGGATGGTGACAGTTTTGTGGAGGTTGTAGCTGCTCCTCATCTGCGTGGGCGCCTCTGCGGCCTTTGCGGCAACTACAATGGCCACAAGCGTGACGATACCATAGGCGGTGACGGGCAGTTCAAGTTTGACGTGGACGAGTTCGCAGAGTCATGGAGGGTCGAGGGAAATGAGGTTTGCACCAAACATCACCCGCCTCGCAGGCCAACTTCATTCCTGTGCCCCGGCAGCGTTAAAGTCAAGTTCAGGGCTCACCGGGAGTGCCAGAAGATAAAATCGTGGCTTTTTAGTAAGTGCCACAGTGTGGTGGACTTCGGGTCTTTTTACAGGTGAGGAGAAATCTCAAGTGACAACTTAATTGTTAAAGTGCCAAACACTGTAGCTTGTCACACGTATCCATTTCTCTGTCCTACCATAACCATACTTGTATGAGGCTTTCGGTAAAATCTTTTTTCATTACGGGAACTTAATCTTAAACAAAACCAAATTCTGCCCTCTTTAGGTCGTGTGTGACGGACATGTGTGAGTGTCCAGTCCATAAAAACTGTTACTGCGAGACCTTCATCGCCTACAGCAGAGCCTGTGAGAGGGAAGGTGTGCCCGTCCTTTGGAAACCCGAAGCTGCTTGTATGGGTGAGTGGCAACACTCATAAATCGCAGAGCATTCTGAGAGGTGCTCTTGACTATTAGAGCCAGTCTTAATGACACCAGATTTGGCTTTTTGTTTTTTGTTTAAAGAAAATTCTGCTCACTTCTGAGCAAACCTGACACTTACTGCAGCTGCCATTCCAGTTCATAGTACTCCCTTTTAGAGAAGTAGAAAAGGATTTACCTTATGGATGCTTAAATTCCCTCTTTTGCATGATATTATCGTTCAACCTTGATAAAATGAACAGTATGCATTGGGTTTGGTATGAGTGCATGAGAAACAGCTAATTCCAATGAGAAGCTCCTGAGAATCTGCTCACATTGACATAATCAAGTCCTAACTTTTTCCCCTCTTTCTAACTTTTCTTCCTCTCATCAGCCACCCAGTGTAAACACGATGCAGTGTACGACACCTGTGGTCCAGGCTGCACCAAAACCTGTGACAACTGGAATGAGATCGGACCGTGCCGTAAGCCGTGCGTGGCCGGCTGCCACTGCCCCGCCAACCTGGTGATGTTCCAGGGACGGTGCATCAAACCCACAGCATGCCCTGGACGGTGACCCCTATGAGCTGGGGGAAGGGGACTGAAGGGAGGGTCATCTGAACTAAAACTAAGGGTCCAAACTAGCAAAGCAGAGTTTGGGAAGACACTAACGGGTCTCAAGTTGACAGATAAGATGCAACAAGGTACTCAGGGTCCATAACTTCACAAGGAAGTACGCTGTCGTGACTTAGATGCCAGCGATCCAAACAATGGTGACGGACTGAAGGGAAACTCAGATGATCATCTGATCACGGAGCGTTCGATTTCTGACTTCCTCTCGCCTCTTTGTCACACTGTTACTACACCAGTCGCCACCAATTACAGTTTTGGAGAATAAAAACTAAAATCTCAAGCGACAACTTAAGTTGCATTTGGAGATTTTACAACCCACGAATTACAGGAACTACGGCATGTTGCCATGGACCCTCAGGGAACAGTCTGGGGCCAGCGGACTCCTCTTAGAGCCAACATGGCGACTGAGTTTCTCTCGCAAACACATTAAAGTGAACAACAGAGCATCTGCATTTGGAATAGTGAGATTCAAAGTCAAAGAGAAACTCGGATTCATCATATCAAAACTGAACTTATCATCTCTATTCCATCATTTCATACTGTAAGCTAGCCAGATTTATATGAAAGACAGACAAGCTTTTATATAATTATTGTTCTAATTATTAATATTATTGCTATTATTTGTTGTTGATGTTAATTTATATATCAGTCAAATGAAATGTTGTAGCAAGAGCCAGAATCATGAATATAATTGTGTTATAAATGATTTAAAGGGAAACAAAAGCTATTTATGTATTTGTTGTGTATTTTTTGTTACTGTTTGAAGAGAAATGCCCAAATGTGACTCAGCTGTTGCACCATCGCAGGGATTAAGTACTGTATTGTATTATGCTCAGTGTACAGGTTGTAGTGGTTAGTAAACTGAAGGTGTTCGTGTAAGCATATGTTTCACTTGACGATAATTATTTAAGACCAGCAATATAATCTTTTCTCGAAGTTCATTTTTGACTGTCGTCCTTCCTCTATGTAGTGCTGGAGAAAAATCGAGATTACGGCTGCTAGTTCAATTCCCAAAAGAAGCCAGTGTTTAAAAAAAATGAAGTAAAGCTGATTTCATACTTGGATGTTTATCTGTGGCTCCTTAGATTTATCTCCACTAAAGATAAAAGACACAAATCTTGAAAGAAAAAAAAAAAAAGATGTAAAACTATTTTAAATACATTTGCACAGCTTTAATACACTTCAAATTTATACAAACATATTTCACATGAACACATCTCTAAAATAAAACATAAGGACTAAAAGCACCAAATACATTAGAGTTCATTCAACAGCAAACTGAGTCTCCAGGGTTGTACAGGTTTTAGGGGATTAGACGTGTGTCCACCTGTTTCAGTGGTTTCACTCGCTTTGACAATTCGCCACCCTCTTTCACTTCAAGCAATGTTCAAAAGCAGAAAAAAAAAATGACTGCAGTCTGGCCCAGGTGGAGAAACAAAACACTGACACATGGAAGACAGTGAATTTTCCCCCCTGTTCAAGAAGAAATACTTACATTTCACCTGCTACTGTAACTCTTTCTAGTACTGCACAGTATGACAGTCTTATAACTCACAATCATGTCTGCTTTGTTATGTGAGTTAAAAAGAAAAGACTAGCTTCAGTTTAGAACACTGCCCATAAAATGAACGTAGCTATGAGTCAATGTCAAACATCAAAATGTTGATGCTGCACATCCACTCGTAAAATCTCTCATTTCAGGAGTACAGGATAGCAGAAAACTAGAGCAAATTTACTCTCTTTTGTTAGCTGACACATCTTTTTGAATAAATGATGCACGTACTGGGATGCCAGTTACACGCGTTTTCTACTCCTTGTTGATGTTTTCAGTTTGCAAGCCTTGTACTGCTGAGGTTGTATATGGGATAGTGCTATGCTGGGAATTACATGAGGTCAGCTGTTTCAAAGTTTGTTCAACATTAAAAGGTGCAAAATGTGAGTGTGGTGGCTGGAGTGGATGGAGCATGGTCCATCCACTCCCACACAGTCCTGAGAAGAGGCTTAACAGCATCTGTATGCGTGTACATGGGATTCAGAAAATCCCTGTAATTGTTCCTTATATTAAATGTGGTTTTTAAGTAAATGTAAGTTCAGTTTTAAGCCGTCTGTACAGAGTGATGTGTACGTAAGGGGCAGCTGGATTATTTGAATACACTTGTTTCTTCTTCTGCAAATGAATGCAGTCACACAAAAAGGTTTTGAAAAAGTAGCATGTCAAAGCCTCGGTCCTGAACCACAGTATGGTATATGGGCCACACACATTACTGTGGTTTCAAGCATTAAACAGAAGAAAATAGGCTTAAAAAATAGAAAATAGACCTAAAAAGACGCTTTGGGTCACATAAAGCGGGTCTCTGCAGACAGCTGTATTGATTAAAATAGACCCTTACAATCTCAAATTTAACACTAATTATAATAAAGTACATCTAATGTTAATCTTAGAGTAACTATTTAATTATTTTGATGGAAATTTCCTTTAAATATGACCCAAAACTTGTTACCAGTTTCAAAAATGACAATCATCTGGCGTTTCATCCTAAAATTTTGCATTCGTCAAAATTTCTTTAACAACAAATACTGTGACCTTTAAGTCTAATCATTCTGTAATAAAACTCCTCGGTTTTCTCTACACTGTGGCTTGTTATACTGCATTCATAATCACAAACAGGATCTTCACAGTCTCTAGCAGAAATTGGAAGAAAATCACTGATACAAATCACAATTACACATAAACTACAGAAAAAAATTTAAAGTACAATTACACACTGGTGTCGTTAAGTGATTTTCACACATTTAGGACACAGTAAGAGATCTGTTTGTGTTCTAACTACTGGAAACACTATGTTTAGTTTATACAATGGGTGGCACCTGTTCAGAGGGTGCAGGAAGCATGATAGAAAATTAATATTACCAGCTCTATGCACACACAACCACAGTGCAACAGGGATCTGACCAGTTAAAGTCTGTTTAACTTGTGGTTTGACCGACAGAGATTTTCATTGTCACATACAACCACTGCAGGCGATGCCTGGAAACATTTCAGAGCTGCAGTAAATGCATGGAAAAGGCGTTACACTGTGAACATTCCTGTACATCTTGCACATGACGAGGGGCATTTCAACTCTTTGGCATTTTCAGAAAATGACACATTCACTTATTTTTTCCAAGCTAGCATGCTTTAAGGCGTGGAATGGTACAATGGTATAGGTTTTATATGAAAATACTGGAGCAAAAAAATAATGTTCTCTGTTTGCAAATGATACATAGCTGATACAACAAACTTGAAAGTGATGATTAACACATTGCATGCTTCTGGGGCAAATTAGTTTCCCCCTTTAATTTGGTTCTTTGATTTTATTTCAGTATTTTAATCTTGACAGAAATTTTGCAGAAGCCAACCCCGATGCACCTGTCTCCTTTCAAATATGATTAACTTGTCAGTTATGGCCTCACAGACCGACTGGAGGATTAAAGTCTGCATTTTCCTCTGACCATCAGAAAAAAAAGCAAACACGTGCGTTTGTAACTACTGTTTCATATAAATAAGCTTAGAAAAATAAAAGCTTGTGTGTCTGGCACCACAGAGTAGACAGTGGAAGTAAAACGCAGCTGGTGAGGAAAGTTGAGCAGCTAATTAGTTAGACATTTTTGGGGGGGTGGCAGTTGAATTCAAAAGAGAGCTACAACACTAGACTTACATTCTATAGCTTACTTACATGTTATTCATACCAGCAATCTGAGTTTCTGCTCGTTGTTGACTCTTTTCTGCCCCCTTGTGGACATAAAACAAACTAATTGGAGCTTTAAAACAACATGCAGCATGTTGCCCTGTTAATTTTCCATGAGCGTAGATAAGCAAACCACAATCTCAACCTGCTAAAAGGTGACATCTAGTGAGTGTAGTGTTGCTACTTAAAAAAAAATGACCAGCAAACAGCAAACTAAAGTTAGCATCAGCAACTGATACCGATTCTGCATCATGTTCCACAATGACCTCAAAAACTTAGTGGATGACAAAATACCTGCGGCATTTGTTTTCTTTGCTTTGTTGCTATTTGCAGATAATCTGTGCAATTCTGCTATTTTTGTATTCTTAGCAAAATGAAAACAAAAAACAAATGTTACAGCGATGATCGCACAGCTACAGAAAATCTTGCTTGCCAAACCATACACAAAACTGAAAAAAAAATATATTAATGATACAAGTAAATAAAACTAGCTGCTCTAAGTACAGAAAATATGTATGTGCACTCTAATATATAATCTTCCAAACCTCTGAAGAATTTTTCTCTTTGTCTCCAGTTTTGCTATACAAAAAAAGATATACATCTAATAAAAAATACACTCTTAAGTTCCAGGCTGGCCAGCTTTCAGGATATACTAAAGCAAATTAAAAAAAATATATGTAGTCAAACCAACCTACACAGCTGGGGTCAGCTATCACAGCAAAGAAACAAGTCAACCAGGCAGAAAGGAGGAGGAGTGTGGACAGGGAGACTGACCAGCAGAGCTCAGTCGTCATCGCTGTCACTGCCTGACTCGCTGAGCTGAAGGTCATTTCCTGTGGGGAGCAGAAGATAAATGACCATAATACCAAAAATGCAGTGTGGTAGCACAGAGTCACTGGCAGTGAATGAGCAAGATTAGCAGCAGCACAGAAAACGAATGCACGCATGTATAAATTCCATCTCTTGACCTGACCAAGTCTAAGTATAACCCAAAGGTACTCACGGAGTGTGTTCATGAGCTGGTTGTTCCCCTGCTGCCGGTCAGGTCCTCCGTTGGCCATGGGGTGGCGGCTGGGTGACGTCTGGCTGAGGGGTCGGGGGGTCTCGAGCTCTCCGTCGCTGCTGCTGCTGTCATCGCCGCTCCCTGAGGCGCTGCCCGAGTCGGAGGAGCTGCTGCTGCCGCTGCTGCTCATCTGCTCTATCACCTCCACCTCTGCTCGCAGCTCTGTTAAGAACAGCAGAGAATCGCTACAGTTAACACAAAGACATTCAGCATTTACTGAAAGATTGTTTATAACAAACTGTAATGTCCTTACATTTATTTAGAACTATGTGATACTTAAGTGTGTCACGTAGCATATGTTTAATATAGAATATGTTATTTGTGATGTTAATCATAAACTATAGTTATGTCAGGAAAACCATCTCTTCTATTATGAGCTGTGGCCGTGTATCACCTTCCTTACCTCTCTTGATGTCATCGAGCTGAGGCTCTGGGGAGGGGTTGTCCTTAGATGGGGAAGGAGAGGTTTTGATCCCAGCCCCGGGTTTAGTGGGGGCCCTAAACTGAGAGGTGGGCTGGCTGGACCGAAGCGACTGCTGCTCAATCCGGGCCTGGATCTTACTGCTGCCTTCTGCCCTGTAAAACACACACACAACAGATGTGATTTCACCTGGATTTATTTAAGAGTAACATAGAAGCCAGCCTGAACTTCCCACTTCAATAACCTTAATTTTGTAATCACTGATATCTCACCTAGTTTTCTTGACCTGGATGCTGCTGCTCAGTTTCTCCAGTACAAACTCCCCAGTGTCGTGGTTAATGATGAGCACACAGTCCTTCTGGTATGGCCGCTTGTTTCCTTTGAATACTGTCATGGGAGGGGTAGAGCCCTGAAAGAAAAAAAAGAAAATGTAAGAACTAAATATGGACAGTCTTGGCTAATTTTGCCAGACCCTATTACATTAAAACAGTGGAAGAAGGTATCATTATACAGTGCTTATTCCTGGTGTGACTGACTCGCTGACTTCAGTTTGAATTGCTTTGATTGTACAAAAGTCTGTTTTTACCCTCGATACTGGATTTCTAAATGTGCAAACATAAATACAAATGTAGTATCTAAGGTAAAAACAGACTTTGTACAATCAAACAAGCTTGAAAAAAAAATCAGTATTTGGTATGACCACTGTTATTCCTCAACACAGCCGGAACTCTCTTAAGTAAGCTTTCTTGTAATTTCTTCAAGTGGCCTCCAGGAATAGTTCTCCATGCTTTCTGAAGGACATTCAAAGCTCTTTTTGGATGTTGGCTGCCTTTTGTTTTGTAATAAATAATCTCACACCGCTTCAATAACGTTGAGGTCCAGGTCATTCCACAACTTGTTCTTAAGGACACGACTTTCAGATTCTGTTCATCTGATGGAGATTGTAGTTTTTTTGGGGTTTTATTAGACCTACCACTTATTCTTTTATCTTCTAAATGTTCACTTTTCAACCAATTTGTCTAAGGACTCCCTGCAAACCATGCTGAGATATGCCAAGTATACACCTAATAGCTATTTGGGAATCACCTGGTTGGTGCAAATGTTATGGTATTTTATGCCAGGCAATCTGTTATAAATTGACTGGCATAAAATACTAGCAATGCTAGAAACAAATTGCCTCTGGAAATGGTCAAATGCCGCCAGTGTTTAAAAAAAACAAAAAACAAGCAAAAGAACAATCAAAAAGACCTTGACGAAGCCTGGAAAAGTATTGCTCAAACCAACTTAAAAAAACTACAAGAAAGTCTCATAGCTTGGAAGCAAAAGGAAATGAAAAGGCATTTATAAAGTTTTGCACAGTACAGAATGTGAACAGATATTCATCTAACATGCAAGTGCCACACTTCCTGGAAGTACCAATTCAGTCAGTATTTAAGGGCGATGAATTTGATGCTAGAAGAATGGAAATTGTTTTATTATTTGCTTAATTTACAGAAAGAAGTGCACATCATGCAGTCTTACTGGAATATGAGGTAGTGTTATGGTAACTTCATCTCCTTTCCCAACTTGAAGCTCTCCCTCACAGCTTGTGTCAATCGATGCTGGTTTGAAGTCATCTGAAAAGGAGATGCAACAGATAATTTAATCAGGTGCTTTAGGAGACATTGTATGTAGGTAATTCCAAATACATGGACATTTTATTAAGTCTCTTAAACAAATATTGAAAAATTATGAGCCGACGAACCCAGATTTAAAACCTGAGAATGGGGAGTAAAACGATAAAATTCAGTGTATAATGCTGCCACACCATTTACAACAAATACTTACTTATATTGTTTTCTCCATATAATTACCCATACACAGACTGTGTAAAACACAGCCTCTCCGTCCATGTGAGAAAGAGAGTCTGACACAACAGTAATCTAACAGTGCGCTTTGTATGGTGCCAAAGTTTTATTTAACACATCGCGCAGTCTGTCACACTTACATCTGATGGTGTGAAAGGAAGACTTTGGCCTCTTCTCAAAGCTTTCTCCGAGCTTCAAAACATGCTCCTCTTTGTCCAGCAGCGGATTCGTGCTCCCGTTCATGGCTCCGTTGGTTTAATGGTTACTAAAACTTGCATTTAGGTCAAATCCCACGAAGAGCCGAGAGCAATCTGGCAAGTTGAGCAGGATCAAAATAAGATGCCAACTACAACACAAAGTTAGCTTGCTGTGGCTAACAGTTAGCAAAACATCACGTGGCCACGCCTTTTCCGCTTTTGGTCCGGCTCTCAAATATCGCCGAAAGTGGGCTGTGTTAGCAACGTCACCTGTTTTCATTAAAGCAAAAGATTAAAAAGAAAAAACAACGCATTTCACTACATAATAACCTATGAAAATGTTTTCAGTGCTTTAATTTAGTCAGTAACGAGTAATTATAGAAAACGCGCCACTCGATGAGAAACGGAATTAAGTAGTAAAGACCACACGACATCATTTAGTTAACGGACAACATGGATGCATTAAATGTGGAAAAAGTACGGCTACCCTCAAATTTGTTTTAAAATAAAACTCTAAATCAGTTAATTTGGGTTAGCATGTTTGAAAAGTCTATTTTTCATAAGCGAGTATAAACAGAACGTGGAGACACTTTGTGGCAGTTTATCATGGCATTGTCAGAAAGTGGGGTTTTGAGTGGTGATATTAACTGTACACATCCTGGAAAAGAAGAGGAGCCGAAAGACCAAGCGAACACCCCCACTGCCAGGGTTTTAACTCTGGGGGAGCAGGAAAGACTGAACGGTGAGCGGGCTCTGGTGTCTGACTTCAAACAGATGAAGCTGGAGAAAGAAGCGCAGAAAAACTGGGACTTGTTTTACAAAAGAAACACAACAAATTTCTTCAAGGATAGACACTGGACCACCAGGGAATTTGAAGAGCTCAAGGCATGCCGAGAGGTGAGGAAATATTTACAACAGACCACACCAGAGGAGGTTCATTTACAGGATATTAAACATAACATCTGTATGTTTTGAAATATTTGAGTTGTATGACTGACATGCAGTTGGTATTGTGTGAAATAGATAAAAAATGTACTGATTTTAATGTGTACAATGGACACCCTAAAGGAAAATTGAGGCTTTACAGGACATGACTTAACATTATCAGCTGTGTAGTTTCTGATTTTACTCAATTACCACCTAAAAAAGTAAATGCTTTTCTCTAGAGCTGATATTTAGAGGTCAGTTAAAAGCTTGCAACTTTCAATAGTAATTTAGCATAAAGGATATTGTAAAAGTTTTTAAGTGAGTTTTTGGAGTTTTACTATTAAAAATTATTGAGCTGAGTTGAGAGACATGAGTAGACTAATACCTTGTTTTTGTGGCAATTTTTAATTAATCTTTGTCCCATCTGGCTTGCAGTTTGAGTCCCAGAAGTTGGTGCTGCTGGAGGCAGGCTGTGGTGTTGGAAACTGCATCTTCCCTCTGCTCGAGGATGACCTCAACATCTTTGTTTATGCCTGTGACTTCTCACCACGAGCTGTTGAATTTGTCAGAGTAAGCTCTATTAGTGAAGCTGTAATACTACTTTACATTCAATGGATTCAGACATTTTAACCTGAGAATCTTGGAATCAACAAAAAGGAAAAAAAAAAACAGAATTTTGTAAATAACATTCTTTCCTTTGTTTTCTTTGTGTTAACAGCAAAACCCTCTGTACTGCCCCGACCGCTGTTGTGCCTTCCAGTGTGATTTAACTAAAGATGACCTGATGGAAAATGTGCCAGAAAGCAGTGTGGATGTCATCACACTCATCTTCGTCCTGTCAGCTGTCCATCCTGACAAAATGAAGCTGGTTTTGGAGAACATTAGCAGGGTGAGAGCAGAGATGGCGTGTGGATAGATTTAGTATAAGTCTGTACTCCCAACAGTTTGTATAGTTTAAATGAAATGATAGGTGGGAGAGTTCTCTCCTACTGGAACTACACAAGCACTTGCTTTCTGTACTCATAATGTGGATAAAACGAAATGTTTGATTGAAAGAAGCCTTTAATCTGATGATGTATTTGGTGGTTAATTTCTAGATATGCTTTTAATGTGCCACATTAGTCAGATTGAAATAGTTTAATGTGATTTGCATGTGATCTTAAGGTTTTGAAGCCTGGGGGATTTATCCTCTTCAGGGACTACGGACTTTATGACCATGCCATGCTCCGATTTAAACCCGGAAATAAGCTGGGAGAGAACTTCTATGTACGGCAAGATGGAACTAGGTCCTACTTTTTCTCTAAAGGTCAGTAGTTTATTTTAAGGAAGTTATTTTTTGTTGATACTAACTTAGCTTATCTCTATAATTAGAGATAGATAGATATATTACCGGTTTAGAAATGTGTGAATTGAGGCTTCACACCTTTTATTTTATTTCAGAATATCAGCACATTCATATGCAAGAACATTGACCTTTCCTTCCTTGGTCACTCATTGTTGAGATAACCCTTTCAAGTAGAGAAGGCTCAATTTATGCATTTCATCTTTTTATGACACATCAGAAAATCTCTAAACCTTTTTTTTTTTTTTTTTATAACTGCCCTCAGAGTTCCTGGCTGAGCTGTTTGAGAAGACGGGCTTCAAGTGCATTTCTAATGACTATGTTCTTAGAGAGACTGTCAACAAGAAGGAGGGACTTTGTGTACCCAGAGTGTTCCTGCAGAGCAAATTTATGAAACTAGAGAGCTGAACTTTGCGTTTGTCGTCTCACAGATCTACAGAGGTTTTGCAAAACATAGCACTGAAATGTTAGATAAAAACTGGACAGTAAAAGGTGAGGGAAATATGTGCCAAAACTTTACCAGAATGGAAATTGGGCCATCAAGGTAACTTAGCAGTATGTACTCCTGCTATCTGCTGACCAAACCACCTGAGGAAGGCTCCCAGAAAAGCTCTGCTCCCAACATCTAAAGGGATTTGATTGGATTTTTTTCAGGGGAAAGAAAAGGCATTAAACATGGTTGTTTAAACGTTCACAGTTTGTGATACCGTTCTGAGAAACACTTTAAATATAAACCAGTAATATGATTGCTAATAGAATTATGACTTTCTTGCCCTTCATTCCCCTAATATTGAGTTCAAGTCATCATTTAAAAATGTATTTTTTAAAATAAATGTATTTTATTATTTTCCCACATATACTGTGAGAGGACATGGTATTCTGTGTTTTATAATTTCCCACTTTTTGATGTGAAATTTTAAAAAATTGTTGAGGATGAAAAAGCAAAGTCTCTCATTCTGTTTGAGGTTCACATTTTATGGGCCATGAATCGCTGTGGTGGATGTATGGATATTTCCACGTTTAAGAATAAACATGCTAAATTTGAGCCTTTTTTTCTAAACTATCTTAACTATCTCTCCTTCAGACGATTCAATGAAAACGTCTTCCCTGGCAGATGTCACTGAATGTTCATTGTATAGAAACAGAGAAGAAACCTTTAAGGCTGCTAGGATGCCAAAATCTAAGACATCCACATTGCCCAAAGCATAAATACAAAATAGATAATTCAATTATCTATGAGTTATAAATTATTATTCTGTAATGTTTTTCAACTTGTAGATTAAGACATTTCAGTCTATATGAAAAACTAGATGAGCAAGTGTGTGAACAACCTTCGAATCTAAATATTTATTGTGAAGACGTTTTATTTCCTTTGATTTCTGAGTAGCAATCAATTCAAAGACTAACAGTAACACGGGCTACTAAAAATGCATAAATTAAAAATCGATTTAATGGAGAAAACACAATAACAAAAAATTAATGACAGGAAAGTTATTTTATTTTATTTTTTCTTCCTTGTACCCATTTCGAGGACTCCATATTAAACAATTTAGTTGATAAAAAAATTTATATTGATCACACTGGAAAAGGTCTTTTGAAGCATAAACACCTGTAAGCAGTATGAGCACAAAGCTATCAAAGTTCTCAACTGTGACACACAAAGGCCTAAAAGAGAACTGCCCTTACTACAATACCATAAGCTGCTCCCAAGATCAACATGTTTGCCGTTGTTTCGATTTAACAACAAATATAAGAGCTTTTATACGTGAATGCAGTTTAGTTAAGTTTTGCATTCATGTATGTTTGCCTTCATCGTACTGTACATTCTGCTAAAAAAGACCACTGTGGTGAATCGGTTTAGGGCCTGTCAAGCTACTTGCAACATGCACTAAATGTGGCTTCCTGTTCAGCAGCTATGTCGCCCACTGACTTTCCCAGTTTAGAACACATTAAAGATTTGTTGTGCCTCTCAAAACAGAAATGTAATTTGGTGTTTGACACAGTGCGATTTATTGGCATCACAGTGTTTCATGTCACAGATATGAAATTACCATTTTCAGATTTTATATGTTACCCAGTGGTGAAAGTAAAAGATTTTGGGCGGCTTTAGAAATCACAGTGAGTATCAAAATTGCATAAATCCCTCTAAAATTTAATGTAGTCAAATAAAATAATCCAAAGTGACAATTATTTGAGTGAATGGGATGTGGGTAAAGATTAAAATAATAAATATTTATATTAAAACATAATTCAATCTTGTAATATATTGAGCTAGTAAAGTGGGCTATATTGTTTAAACATTTCATGTATGTTTTTAAACATGAACAAATATGCATTTTCATGACAGTAATTTCATAATTTGCTAACTAGTAAAGATGGACTAGTACTAGATTACAATCATGAAGATTGTGTCATTAATTAACACAATGTAATATTCTGATTCTGAAAACGTTTTCTGTGGTTCTGGAAGAAAAGTTGTGGTTACCAAAAATGTAACGAAATTAAAATTAGTCTCATTCCTGAGAAATTGCCATTTGCTTCAGTTCTACGTAACAATTTTTTTCATGAATTAAGACACCCTTAAAAATGTTGAAAATTGTGATTAGTGAGATCCGGTGATATGTTAAGCGAGGTGCCCTATTTAATCTGACCATGCACGCTGCTTCAAGACTGACTTCAAAGCAGTACAATGCAGTTGATACAGTTTCCTGTCCCGTGGTTTGGCTTCTTCGAGCTTTCTACTAGTAAAGCGAGAAATGAAAGTGCCAAGACGGTTAAAGATGCTCGTACCAGTTCATTCTAGGTTATGTTTTTTTTTTTACAATCATTAAATAAAATATGATGAATGATTTTGATCAGTAAAATAAATACAACTAACTAATTCTGTTGGAGAAATTAATGTTTTATTAGTATTTCTGCTATATTTTGTGGGGATTATTTGTATTGTTGAGTTTTATTTTTTTATTACATTTTCTTTCTTTACGATTTATTAATCAT